ATTGACAACAGCAACTTGAAAGGTTAGATAGAAAATTTAAGGGGTAGTGAGTTTATGTTAATGGGGGATGAACTATTTAGAAAAAGAGGGTGAGAATGGTTGCACAACTTGAATGAAATCAGTGTCCCTGAATTGTACGTGTAGAAATTGTTAAATTGGTTTATGTTCTGTTGGGTATATTCTCAAAAACAGCAACAACAAAAAAAATTATACAAAAATATTTCTCTTTTGTTGGACGTGTAGGTTTTTTTCCAAGTGTTTTACTTTATAATTAATGCTGTGCGATGTATCCTTGTGTGTGTGTGTGTATATATATATATGTATATATACATTTGATCACTTTCCTGGTTATTTCCTTATGGAAAATTCCTAGAAGTGGAATTGATTGGTCAAACAATCTGTACTTTTTAAAGCCTTAGACATGTATATTGTCAACCTAGAGACTGTCCAACCGGGACGCCTACCAGTTGGATATAAGATTGTGTTGCCTCTTATCACCATGACAAGTGTGAATGAACCTTAAGTGAGTGGCTGAATTTGTCTAGAAAGCTGAGCCTGATGGAGTGGAAAACAGGGCAAAATCAACCTTTGGGGGATGGACTCTGAGGGAACTGCACCTAAGTTCTCTGAGGACCGGGCTTTGTCTTGTCTTCTCCCAGCCCTATCCTCAGGGCTTTCTGATTTCCAGAAGCTCTCCCACCACGTGGGTCCTCTTGTGCTGCTGTTCTCCCTGCTTTAGTTGGACCTACCAGTTCTCCAGTCCACTCCCATTCCCCTTTCCCTATACATGTAGGTGTGTTATTTCATACTGGACTCCTATCTTAAGGATGCTGGGGTGTGCACACACAGGGTCTGCCCACACACAGCAGGGTTGAGTCTCACAAGAGAGTCCTGGAGTTGGATCCGATGCAACATTTCATTTTTCTAGGCTTATGGAGGACCTTTATTTAGCAGGAATGAAAATGGAGTCAGTATGTAACTTATTTTCGACTTACACTTAGATTGATGTGTTCAAATACAACTTGAGATTTACAAATTCTGTAGATTAAAGCATGAATCAGATGTTTAGAATATCTCTAAAGTCGACCTTTACTTTCTCACTTGATTCAGGAAAAGGAAAAGAAGCAAACCAAGGGCAGGGGAATAAAGACCTGGGATTACTGTTTGGACAAAATAGTGTGGAATGTAGACAGTTATAATCAATACCACTTAGGGTGTATATGTTCCCCCACTAAAGAACCGTAGCCTGTAGGAGTATGATTTTTCTATACAGACTGAATTGGGGACATTATGTCTTATTATTAAATTTAAAGACAAACTTAAGAAGTCTCTATGCTCTGCATTTCTGTATCAGTAAAGTATTTTTTTTAAATGTTGAACAAGAGATTTTCCTTTTCTTTGTGCACCTCTTATATTCTTTGTCATAATCTTAGAATTAAGGTTCTGAGATCTGTGGGAGTTTGTGTTAGAAAACATTTAATAGAAATTCTGAAATGTTATGCTTTTGCTCCTCTTGTTCATTTCAGCTGCAGCTGATAATAAGCATGTAGGTGCCCTGAAGATTCTCTTGTGGGGTGGTAATTAATGATACTTACAGTTGCATAGTTCTTGGTGGCACCATGAGTGAGAGAACGCATTCATGCTGGTTTATCTCAACTGTGACTGCAGTCACGGTCTTGTGGTTTCTGTCTCATCTTGAGTGGCTGTGACTCTGACTCATAGGCACTGAGGACTTTTGCCTTTGTAATCTCAGCTGTTGTGGGTGTGTTTGCATTAGCCAGCGGAGTGAGGGAAGAAACACATTCGGCCGCAGTCTGTTTGCCTTCTCTGTGAGACCACAAAGTTTCACTGAGACAATACTATATTTTACTTGTAGTGATTTCCTCACAATTCAGAAATAGGAAAGAAGTGGTACTTACTCAAGTATATAGAATAACCAGATGTTGGAAGTCATTTAAAAATAATTAATTATGTTATTTTTTTAATGGTAGATTCCCTTTCCTTGTGTTTATGTTCTGTTTGTGCCTAATACAGTTTTTTGTTTGTTTTTTTAAACAGGCTAAACATATTTTTAACTGGCATGAACCCATTCTACTTCCATGCAGTAAATATAATTTTACACTGTCTGGTGACTCTTGTGCTAATGTACACGTGTGACAAAGCTGTCTTCAAGGATCGTGGACTTGCTTTTGTTACGGCATTGCTTTTTGCTGTGCATCCTATTCATACTGAGGCGGTAAGTATAATTGGAACTCAATGAAATAACGAATCAAGCAAAAAATGTATAAGCTAAATTGATCTTTTTTTCCCTTTTCAAAACCATGTGAATTCAAAGCTCCACTAAAGTATTTATATAGAAACCATTTTGATGGACAACTTTTCTGGCTAAATGTTCAAAATTGGCTTTATTGTACCTCCAGGATTAACTGCTTTTCTAAATAACCACGGTTATTATGGCCCCAGGTTTTTGTTTGCAGAAAATTTAAGTCCTAATGTGTGTTAAATAGCAAGGGGCATTTCGAGATACTTACCATGCTGAGTCATTGCTTCTGCTCTACATTTATGTTTTTCCTTTTCTTACTCTGCTTTATATTTATAATATTTTTGATGCAGAACTGTGAGTGTTAGGAGGAGGACCATACAGTGTTAGAATGACATTCTTCAAGTTATAAAGGAAGATTTATGAGACTTACAAATTGTTTTCCAAGTTATTTATTACGAAGTACAGTTATTTTGTGGGCACTGAAAAATTTATTTAGAAAATATAGATAGTTTGGATCTATTAAAAACAACGGTTGCCACGGAGTTGATTCTGACTGATGGTGACCTCGCATGAACGAGAGTAGAACTGTGCTTCATAGGGTTTTCAGTGGCTGATTTTTCGGAAGTAAATTGCCAGGCTTTTCTTCTGAGGTGCCTCTGGGTGGAATCAAACCACCAACTTTTTGGTTAGCAGCTGAGTGCATTAACTCTGCATCACCCAGGGACTCCATAGCCCTCTTTAAAGTATTTACTTAGTCGTGCACCTAGATGGCATTGTTAACCTACCTTGGTTCGCATCTCAGCAACCTCAGCTGGTTTATTTTACTTGTACTGTTAGGGGTAGACAGAGACTTTCCAAGTGGTGTATGGGTACCACAGTTTTAAAAGAATTGTTTGAAGAACCTCAGCTTGCATGTGGGCTTTCCTAAAGTTGATTTTCCTGAGAAAATACCTGTGGTAAAGGTGGCATGTTAGTTCTCTTTTCTCTCCTCCCCTTTCACAGTTGCCCTTCTGTCATTTTAGCAAAAATAAGGACTACCTCTCATTCATCAGAAACATGCTATGCCCCACGTGTACAGATCCCCAGCGCACCATACAAAGGACAGTTGGACATGTTGGTGTCAGCAAAGCCTCCTTCAGTTAAGGCATCGTAAACCCAAGTAGGGCTTCATATCTTTCCCTATCTTTTACATATTTCTGTGAAGAATACACCATGGCATTAGGAACAGCGTATAGTGGCCTACGTAGATGTTCTGAATCCAGAAGAGGGATGGTTATCATGGGGATGCATGATAATATGTTTATTCGAACTGACACAAGAAGTCTGATTTGGCCAGTTGGTTTAATAATGAAGCCTGGCCTTCCTACTTAGACTATCTGATGAACATTTTCCTCAAACAGAGACTAAATCTGTAAGCCCAAGAGTTTGACAAAAACATATTTAAAGTGTGGATCTCTGGTGGCACAGTGGTTAAGAGCTTGGCTGTTAACCAAAAGGTTGGCAGTTCAAATCCATCAGCTGCTCCTTGGAAACCGTATGGGGCAGTTTTACTCTGTCCTATAGGGTTGCTATTAGTTGCAATTGACTCGATGGCAATGGGTTTGTGGGGTTTTTTTTTTTAGGTTTTAATAAGAAAAAAAAATCACTTTATTAAAAAAAATTACATAGTCAAAAGTGTAGAATATTTTGATTTTCCCAATCCTTTCTGAATACGTTTGACTGAAGAGGGTGCCTCTAAGTGAAAGAGTATGAAGTATAAATTATAGTCTTTTGGGAAGTCTTGGTAAGGCATACTTCTAAAAAATTGAAAGCAAATGACTAATGACAGGTAACGCTAATGATGAGTATGTTTAAATTATTCATTTTCAACTAAATTAAAGGAAGACCTGATTAAAAATAATGTAAGATGATACATCACTGTGATTTTGCAGGAAACTTGGAACGTAAAGAATTAAGTCACTGCTGTGACTACTTCCATTTTCATTTATGGGAACAGTCTATAAACACAAAAACCAGGAATAGAATTGATGCTGCATATTGTCTCATTCTAACAAATAGATAATATTCAGCTGTATATAACTGAGTTCATTGAAAATAAACTTGTTACACTTATAAGAGGTGCATTTTTATATCTCATAATTATGTATCAGTGTTTCTAATTTATTTATGATGTATTGAACAATTGGATATTAATAATTAGAAGAATAACTTAATACAAAATTAAAAAGTTTAATGCTTAGAAGTTTATGGCCACAGGAAATACAAAAAATAAAGTAAAAATATATTTTAGAAATATATTTACTATTATTGCAGAGAAATGAGAGGATAAATAAAATATTTTTAAGCATAATTGTATATAATACATTAAGAGAAAATGCTGAGGGGAGGAAATAAAACGGAAATACGAGTTCAAGGAGAAAGCATGTAAAATGTCTACCATTTGAAGAAGAGCTTGTTCATTGTGTAAATGGAGGATTATGGGCTTCAAATTGCTCTGATGTTTAGAATCCATTTGGTACACTTAAAACAGTAACATTATAGCTTTGTTTTTAGATACTGTTTGCAATGCACTGGAAGTTACATCCTTTCAGTTATTTGAAAGTATGATGAAAAGTTTTAGATATGAACTTAAAAAGGTGAAAGTGATAGTGTTTAATGTTTGTTTGAATGTAACATGAAGAAAAATAGTCAAGGACTACTATTCTTAGCTGTATAGAATATGTGACGGGTCACAGGCGATGGGCCGCAGGCAATACTTTAAGATAAGATAATAGGCAGTATCATATTTCTGACAAATAATTCTTTTTAAGTACAGTTGAAAATCCATGTGTCGAGTGTCTTGGGGACAATTAATTGCAACAAAGAACAAATGAGTAGGGCAGTAACAGTCTTAATTCAACGCTTGCAGGGAACAAGTGCATAAAATGCAGATAACCTTGGGCAAAATGATGGTGAACTGATAGAATTTAGGTTGAATTCCAAAAATAGGGTATTATTAGCAAAATGACATTTAACAAAGGGTTCCAACAGGCTGCTGTACTAATTGAAAAAAAAATCAGTAGAAACACAGAGGCAAAGGAATCCGAGAGCTGGGCATTTATTTAGGGAAGAGTATTTGCAGTCGGAAGAAGCTGAGAGAGGTGTAAGAAGGAGTCGAAGAAATTTGACCTACAAAACAATTTACATTATGAAGTCAAATCAAGAGACTGTTACTTAGTTATAGAGCTCAGTGCAGGTTTCTGAGGAAGAAGGCAGAGAAATAGAAAAAAAAATTTACAGAAGACATAGGGTTAAATTGAAGGAAAAAACATCATGGAGGTGTGGGGGAGGATGCGGACATTTAGTGGAAAACATCTCCCCTTTGTTAAGCAAGAATGAAAATCGGACCGTAATTATCTCAGGAAGGATGGAAGATTTAAATTTTGGGGGTAAGGTTTAGTTTAAACATGCTAGTATGATCACCAAGACTGTTGCGTTTGCTTTTATTTATTATGTAATCAATAAATAGTTCATAAGTACTTGATGCAGGATGCTGTGCTAGGTGCCAAGGGGATATGTGGGTGGCTAGCATGGTCCCCACCAACAGTTTGTTCACAAGCTTGTAGAAAAGCCAAAGACCATACATGTAGGTAGATACAAGACAAAGTAGTATGTTGTGATAAAACAAGAACCCCAGAGGAGAGGAAAATTATTTCCAAATTAAGTAGATGAGGCAAATTCATTTATTTACATAATATTTCAGCACATATTTGAATGACTACTATACAAGAGCAGTGTGCTCAGTGTGGGGGTATAGCAATGTATCGGATAGATCCAGACCTTATTTATTTAGATCTTTGTGATTCTTGGAGGAATTTCCTGACAGTGTATTTAGAAATTTATGTTTTTCTGAATCCTGAATCATGAGAAAAATTGATGAAGAATTGGGAAAATGGGAAAAGTTACTGTGATTTTCCTGCGAGAATTAAAACTTACAGTCATCTTTGAAGTGTTCTGGCTGGAAGGAGTCCTTTTACATCAAGTCAAAAGCAAGAGCAGGAAACGTTGACAGGTGGAGTTGAAGGTGAAGGCCAATTCTGAAACTGGGACAGGAGCACATAGGAAAGAAGAGGTCATGAGCTAATCAGTTGGTCTGGCTTGTAGCTGTTGCCAACGTATTGTGTGTGTTCATGGTCGTAGCTGATGCTAACGGAAGTTATTCTTGCAGATAAAATAAATGTTAACAAGTTTATACATAGGGTAACCGGATGGTGCAAATAGTTAATGTGCTCGGCTGTTAACTGAAAGTTTGAAGGTTCAAGTCCACCCAGAGGCAACTTGGAGAGAAGTCCTGGTGATCTACTTCTGAAAAATCAGCCATTGAAAACCCTATGGAGCACAGTTCTACTCTGACACACATGGGGTCACCATGTGTCGGAATTGACTTGACGGCAACTGGTTTATACTATATACAAATCCTGTGAGTGGTATTCCAAGAGAAAAGCAAGCTTGGAAGCACATTAAGTTCTTCAATTGACAATTTCTACGTGTAATTCTGTGTAGTGCTGTTAACCTTGCTAGGAGTTCTGAATGTTACATTATTATTCAAATTCTACCCAATTATGTTTTTCCGGTGTTTGAATATTTGTTAGAGGATACAGTTCCCAGATTACAACCACCTCTTTGGTGATGGAAGCCTGCAGTTTGAGGCAAAAATACATACTGTCCACTTGCATATGTATCATGAATTGACCAAGTTCTTTTGTTCTTCCCAGCACCCTACAACTCAGCCTACATTGTATTAGAATCAAGTCCTGTGTACTCTACCTTACATTCCATCTTTGCTTCCTATTGCCCACACCCCTTTTTATTCACTCCATGCGCTTGTCACTTTATGCCCTTCTGGAAACAGTCCATGTATTTCTAGACCTCTGTTTCTCTGCCTCTGTTGTTTCCTTGCCTGGAATGCGCTTTTGGTTCCCTTTCTGGCCTAC